ATATATATATATATTTATATATTTGTATATATATAGAACATATATATTTATATATATATATATATATATATATATATATATGTGCATATTCACATACATATACATATAAAAATACACATATTACACATATATATGTGTATGGATATATATAATCTATATTCTTATTGATATTTATATTTATATATTCATATATATATATATATATAATTGAAATATATTAGTAGATAGATATACGTATTCATGCTTATCGATATATACTCATACTCACTTGTACTCGCTCACATACATACATACATATATATATATGTCTATTTGTATTTATATATGTATATGTAATTGTGTTTACAACATGTATAGATTCAAGCACACACAGGCACACAATCACATACACACACACATATTTATATATATGTGTCTATTTGTATTTTTATATGTATATGTAATTATGTATACAACATGTATAGATACAAGCACATACAGGCACACAATCACACCCACACACATATATATATGTGTCTATTTGTATTTATATATGTATATGTAATTATGTGTACAACATGTATAGATACAAGCACACACAGGCACACAATCACACACACACACATATATATATCACACACACATATATATATATCACACACACATATATATATATCACACACACATAAATAATTGTATTCACACACACACATATATATATATATATATGAGTGTCATCGTATGTATGTTTATTTGAGTTATTATTTGTATATAACATATACTTCTACTGCTACTGCTACTGATATATATGAACATATGTGCACACACATATATATACATATATACATACACACACATTTATTTATATGTATGTATGTATGTACCAATATATATATATATATATACATATACACGCATGTATATATACATAGATTTATGTTTTACAATATACGAGTAAGTAAATGTTAATGTTTATATGTATATTTGTATCTTTTTGTGGGTGCGCGTAAGTATATTAAAATGAATAAAAATAGGTATACATAATCATACTTCTACTTTGCCTTATTCATATAAACATGCGTGTACACTCACACAAATAAACGCACACGCATATATATATTCATAGATCTATATATTAGACCAGACTATAGACAATATAAATTTATATATTAGACCGGACTATAGAGAATATATATGTAATTATATTTATATGTATGTATGTGTCTATGTATATATGGATATATATATATCTATACGCAATAATACGTATTTATTTATATTTTATATTTGCTTGTAATATCTTTTTACACACTTAGTTTGAAGTAAGCACCTCTTGCTGACCTTCATAACCATTCTTTTCTTCAGGTCTTGGACACGCGTATGGGTTAATGTAGATAACGGGAACACACCGGGTGTAGTGTTCAATGGCACAGCTCCGGCTTTAGGCACTCCAGGGTACCTATATCCTTCACACTTTGGTCTATGGACTGGTTGTTACGATCTCACAGCAACTGGCGAACAATGGGGATGCGCCTTCATCTCCGGCGCCTGCAGTAAGTGGTGCAATGATTTGTTTTATAACGCGTTTATACCGCCAGGTATATCCCTACTGCTCCGGCCATGGTGAGTAATTTACTGAACATGGATACGCATGTACCTGTTACCCTGCCCTGTCCCTATTTTTTATATCTGACATTTCATTTTACCTGGAACTCGCTCCTTTAATCCACCTTCGCCCCGGTAGATACGAACATCTGCTGGTGGGTCGGAAACACGCTCTTCTGCTCGACTGACCGATACGACGCCATTGACTCGTAAGTACTTCTCCGTCTACTGTCGTGGGTATAGCTATACTGAAAGGGTTGTCGTTGATATAGTGTGCAGATGTTACAACTAATAGTCTCTGTTGAAGAGGTGTAAGTACTTCTCCGTCTACTGTCGTGGGTGTAGCTATACTGGAAGGGCTGTCGTTGGTATAGTGTGCAGATGTTACAACTAGTAGTCTCTATTGAAGATGAGGTGTCAGTACTTCTCCGTCTACTGTCGTGGGTATAGCTATACTGAAGGGGCTGTCGTTAGTATAGTGTAAAGATGTTACAACTACTATTGAAGTTGAGGTGTAAGTACTGATCTTACTTGTGCAGTATAAGTTTTGTACATGTATGTCTGTGTTCTGATTTGTATATAGCTATACTGAAAGGGCTGCCCTATAAGTTTTGCGCGTGCTGTATTGCTAGGTTTCAGTGTTTCACAAGTACCGGCTTTGATCTGCCTAGGATCTTAGTATTGTCCCTCATTTGTCATTGTGTAGTGGGGTTGTACGTGGGTGTGTGTGTTCTGAAGTGTATCCATGTACACAATTAACACTGGAATGCACGCGATATGAAATAAACCACGTCACATGTGATGCTCCTCACTTCGATTGTGAGCGTTTGTACTTGCGCGCGCGATTGGAAGACGGGTTTTAATATTTGTAGTTAGAAGGCGGGCTACAGTATTTGTAGTTAAACCGTGGCAAACGTATACTCCGATAGGACTCCATACACACCTCTACTTCCTGTCCATATACACACTTCTACTTCCTGTCCATAGTACATTCTGTGCTACACAATACCTCATACCACACAATATTATACGCATCACTCATATTATACACTTGCTTCTCTACCCCAGGTGCGGAGCATACGTATCCGCTCGGGTTTTCATAACCCTGGCTCTGATCGCCCTTGTCGTTGCCATGGTGATGCTGGCTTCAGGGTTGAAGTACGCCATAGCCGACCACGCCTCAGTGGGGTGCTTGTGGGCCACCCTGGTCTTCCTGTCTATCACCTGCGGTACCTTTGTCGGTGGTGTGTATAAGGGTACGGGGGTAGGCCCAAACGGCAGCTATAGTGTGCAGGATGAGTTCTCGCTGGATTGGAGTTTCATACTGTTTGGCATAGCCTTTGGCATGACCTTTGTGGCGGCGGTAGTGACCACAGCGCTGGCGTTGGTGGTGGAAAAACATCAGCAAACGGTCGATGAATACTGAGTAGGACGGCAGCGATAACAGCCAAATATGCATTTAAAATAAACATCCAAGCAATCCAATAGTAAGAAAGATAGAGGTGCATTGGTGTGGGCGTAGTGATAAGCATATTAAATAAACATCCAAGCGATGCAATAGTAAGTAAGATAGAGGTGCATTAGTGTGGACGTAGTAATAAGCATATGAAATAAACATCCAAGCGATGCAATAGTAAGATAGAGGTGCATTAGTGTGGACGTAGTAATAAGCATATTAAATAAACATCCAAGCGATGCAATAGTAGGATAGAGGTGCATTAGTGTGGGCGTAGTAATAAGCATATTAAATAAACATCCAAGCGATGCAATAGTAAGATAGAGGTGCATTAGTGTGGGCGTAGTGATAAGCATATTAAATAAACATCCAAGCGATGCAATAGTAAGTAAAATAGAGGTGCATTAGTGTGGGCGTAGTGATAAGCATATTAAATAAACATCCAAGCGATGCAATAGTAAGTAAAATAGAGGTGCATTAGTGTGGGCATAGTAGTAAGCATATTAAGTAAACATTCAAGCGATGCAATAGTAAGTAAAATAGAGGTGCATTAGTGTGGGCATAGGGATAATATTATTTATTTCAAAAATGGCAATAAGCATATTAAGTTAACATCCAAGGAGCCTGTTTTCACTGCTGCAGGTTTGGTGCCTTCCTTGTTTCGTCAGCAGATTCAGGACTTCGATGCTCTTGTCTTAAGCTTCTTCTCGACTTGTCTGCAAGGCAACGGGCGTATGGCCTTTATCATCATTTTCACCAGCATCGGAGGCTTTGCAGCTTTGAACTTCCTCCTCGCGATGTGCTACCATGGCAGAGATGTTCGTCGGCGTCCTAGCCGTCGCAGCTATGTCAAGCGCAAGTATGGCAAGGCATTGGAGGCGTTTGGTTCTCGTCTAAGCGTACCGTCGACGGAGACGTAGCCGTTCACTGTCCCGGAATAGCTTTGTGGTGAGCGATAACGGAGCTACCTCTGACCGGAGCCGTCGGAGCGGGAGTGAAACTCCCAAACATAATACTTGTCACATATGTGGCAAGAACCATTATAGGGTTGATTGCCCACAACGAGTGGCTCCGGCGGGGGCAGCGGCTGCCACTGCCAACAAACGTAAGAAAGAGCAGAAGTGACGGTGCGAGGAGGGGCCTACGGTGCCGTGCTTGTTGGGCGATAGTGAACCGTAGGTCTACTGTGATTCGGGGTTCTATCCGTCCATGATGCTTCGCTCTGTGGCGGAGCGTGAAGACCTGGTGTCGGGTGAGGTGGAGCAGAATGTGCTCCAGGCTTATGACAGCTCGCTGAAAGCGTCTCCTTCCGAAATGGTGGATACTACTCTATTGATACAAATTTATTTTAAGGAAACGGGAGCGCTGGACTGTTTTCTGACAGAGGAGATCAAGTTTTACGTGGTGGACGTGGCTCCCCCGTGTCGGGATAATATATTAAACTATCTAGCCCAGCGAGATAATTTATTACACAGTTTATGGGACACCTCGACGGAGCCGCCGACCTTTCACATGGCGGTCAGAGCGTCCGTTGTGGTGGCCTCTCTCATCTATACAACCCCCGAGACAATATTCAATATGGAGCTGCTCCCTTATCGCGAGGAGCATATTACAAGCTCGGTTTATGACTTCTCTGGCCTGGATGAGCTGGCACGAGGTATTGGGGTGCCGGAGGAGGAGTTGGCTGACATAAAACGTCACTGGGAGCAGTGAGCTTATGAAAAAGCCAAGCCCCACGAGCTTTCGGTTGGTGAAAGGTTTTTTTATACCTATGCGTCCTAATGCTATTATTGAACGCAGCTAATTCAAAATTAGGGATCCCATTAAGATGGGTGTGAAGCAGCGCGGTATTATACGAAAGACGACGGACAAGAGCGGCTGGCTGTCGTCGAACATATTGGCCGAGAAGGTGAAAGGAGTGCCCTTGCTAGAGGATAAGGACCGCCGCATGTGTCAAGCCTACGTTGGGTTGAACAAGTGGTCGGTGCCTGATAATGCAAACATGCCGTCGGGGGAGGAGCTGCGGCTGCATATCAGCAATGTACTTCCCCATATTTATTTTTCACGACGGACCTTTGATTCAAATTTTCGCCTCCGAAACGTAAATCTCGGAGACCAGTAGGTCACCAGTGTAGAACTGAATCCCACTTTCAAAAAAACCCACAAACCCCACCAAAACGTTGACTTGAAATTTGGATTTTCAATCAAAACAAAAAACAAAATCCAGTAGGGAGTCTAGGGACCCACAGCCCCACATCCGCGAAAAATGTCGGGCCAGGCCGAATCCCCAATTGAGACGTTCGTCCCCAACGACTCCTTACCCAATGACCAATGGAAATTGGACATACAAAAATCTATCACAAACCTCTCTGCCCAGGTCAGTACTCTACAGGCCAATCTCAATCAAATTTTGGGACCGGCTCTAACAACCCCGAACAATAATGGGCCCATCTCCAAGGAGCCTTTGACTAATGACCAATGGAAATCAACCATACACCAAATGCTCACTAACCTCTGTGCAAAAAGAACCAACCTTGAATCCGAACTCCGGGACCTTAAATCCCAAACCCATGCACCTATAGATGAAGGCACGCCCGACACTTTCCGATTTGGCTCCACAAGCCCGCCTGCTCCTCCTGCAAAAAGACCGCAGTCACAGGCGCCCAATAGCAGCAGTGAGCCTCCCAGCTACCGCTCAAAAGTGGACAAACCTGCAAAACCGAGCCCTAAAAAAACGCCCGACCCCACCAGCTTCTCAGTCCCAATCGCAGCCGCCAGTACCCGAACTCCTTTTGACGAAAGTGGTGGGCCGCCCGATGCCGGACAAAACTCTTCATAAAATGGATGACATAACTCCGGTATGGCTCCTAACGGCAAGCCCCCATCCCAATCAGTATTTGAAATATACTGGCATGCCCAACCAGCCCTCAATCGCCACCACTTTCTCTGGTATCTTCCGTCTAAATCGGTATCTCAACCAAATCGCCGCGGAAGCTCTACCAGTTTCACCCGCCTTTATGTTCCTATCTACATTGTCCCCCAGGTGAAACGGCATGCAGCACTTACGTGGAAATGGAAGCTTGATGAAAACATCGACCCCCGCTCCCAACAATATCCCGACGCTACGAAAGCAACTTTAATTCACGATCCCCGCACCAAGCGGGAGATCCGCTGCACACATGAACGTGCGCCAAAAATTCTTGCCCGCAGCATGGATGCACTACTGAGCCCACTTGTCAACTCCACTAACGCAGACATCCTACACAATCTACCGCGGACCGTCTCCAGAAGGCTTACCAAGCAAAACATGATGCAAACCTCTTCTCACTTAACCCGCGAATCCCGGTAAACACTAAAGAAACAGCGCGTGCGGAACCCAGACGATTTCATATACCAATGGTCTCCCCGACACAATCATCCGACACGATGGATAGCAATACGCAGCCTCAGCTTTCCACAACGGACTCTTCGACGACCGGCAATGATATAGAAATGGCTGACATCGTCAAAGAAGAGAGCCCAGTAGTATTGACCGATGATGAAGGCATCAATACAACATACACTAAAATAGGCATCATGATGCAATCATGATGCCTATTTTAGTGTATGTTCTTCTTGTGTCAACTACAGCACTTGGTACACAGTCAAACGCATGCACAACGGCATATACATTACTACAGCCCTTGGCACACAGTCTATCACTTGTTTGCACTGTCCACAAAGTACGGCCTGGTTATCCCCTTTGCATGATCCACTATCATGTCTGATCCATGACGTGCACACTCCTGTTCATACTTCCTGTGAATAGTTGACTTTGCTTATTGTTGCATGAGTAAAACCAATTACTCCCTCAAATACCAAGAGTATCTGCTGTCGCCCTGTATTAACATGAATATTTATTTATATTTTCATAAAGTAAAATGAATTACGTCACGAATATAAAATATGTAAGACTCCGGATTCCCCCAAACACCGCAAAACCAGTGAAAACCTCAAAACCAGAACCTATTAGGACAGATAAAGGCTATTACATACCGGACACTCGGACAGTCCAGCAAAACCCAAAATCTGAAAATCATCATCAATACAGAGGGTTTTCCGTTTTTCATTTGGCTTTTTTTTTAGGTTGTAGCCAAATGCCATCGCCGCCAATCGTTAAATAGCCACCCCTAAAGAAGTATTTAAATAGTTCACTGTTGTTGTTATAACCACCCCCAAGAAGTGGTTGGCTGTTGATGTTCCGCTTCTCAGTCGCTCAACGACAGTAATTAACATACTATTTGAATACGCAGAACAACTATTGAAAAATATTGGTTGCTGTGCTCAATAGCATCTCTTTAAGGTTCAATCCCACGTTCAAAACCTTCAACCTTTTTCTTCGTATATAGATGGCAATAAGATACAGGTATTGAACTCATTGTATAGTAACCACACGACCAAGTGACGCATGATCTATGATTCGTAGATATCGTTAGATATACCTCATTTATTGTACAATATCAAGCTCACCACCAAGCGCCGTACACCCTATGAATCAACTTCGCACAGTCAGAAACTACTTCACGCGTAATAGCCACGTCTGGGGTACTGCATTGGGGCTGTGGTTTACGATGTCGTCGTATAGCACTGAACGAGCACTCAAATACGTAGGCAAAAATGGGCAAAGTATGTCAGTGAAGACCGATGCGATTCGATTCGGCGGATTCGAGGTTGAAGGTGTGTGAATTCGAGGTCGGCGGTATGCATTTGCAAAGTATGTTAGGGGCAGGTACACATCTGTGTATATAGGTGTGTTTATATCAGTAATTTGTGATCATAAGATAGAACATAGCCCCGATCTGTGTATATAGCTGAGTTTAGGTCAGCAATTTGAGATCGCAAGATAGAGCATAGCGCCGAGTTCTAGTGAGGTGCAAAAGAAAAACCAAGTAAAACTTAGTGTATGTGCTAAACTGATAGTCGTAGGTATATTCATCTACAGAGAACAATATATCTGTAGATACATGGATGTGTACATATGTAACTTGATGATGTGAATATAGTTGGAATAATCATGCCCATTATTGTATGTACACACATGTACATACAATCAAGTGTGTATTAGAGCATATACACTTATACCCACGCTTTTCGCAGTTGGACATCTAGCACATATGAAGACCACTCGTTCTTCACCTTTCGCTTGTAGTTTTCTCTCGGCTCATAAATCTGAAAGTCGTCAAGTTATACTCCGGCACACTCCTATCATATTGTCTATCTATGTGGCTAGAAGAAGGGCGTTTAGCAAAACTCACTGGATGTATACGGATGAAAACAATTGTCCAGATGACTCACTAAACATAATGTTGGGTATGGAGGATCTTATCATCCG